TTTTTTTTTTTTTTTTTAATTTTTGTTCAATCATAATTGATCATACATATTCTGGGCGTTCAACACTGACATATGTTGATTAAATCAATATTACTAGCATATATTTTGTTACAAATCGTACTTAATTCTTTATGCCCCTTGTCTAATCTCTCCCCATCCCCCTTTCCCTCTCCCCTCCCACCTCTGATAACCCTAGATTTCTTCTCTCCTTGTGAAAGAGTAATGGTTACTCTGTTGATTTGTTGCCTAGATGATCTGTCCAATGCTGAGAGGTTCAGGTACCCCGATATTATTGTAGAGCAGATGCTTTTTCTGTCACTCTGGAATGGGCTATGTGAAGAGAGACATCTTCTTCTTTGGTCTCTGCTGGTGACTCTCCTTGTGTCAATGCACTCCACTGGCTGGCAGGCTGTCTGCGTGGTGGTTGTGCTGTCTAGCCACTTTTGCGGCAGCCATGGTTATTGCGGTGGCTATGGTGGGCCACCCATATGGAGGTGATATTTTTGGCATGCTCCTTGGTGCTGGCGGTGTGCCTGGTTTTGGGGGGGTGGGTCTGGTTCCCGGCTCTGTACCTCAGGTCCCTGAGCAGGCCCCGAGACACTGGTGGTGTGCCCAGTTGTAAAGCCACTAAGTTCTGAGGTGGTTTGTAATGCAGCATGAGATAACTGACACAGACCGCTGCCATCTCTACTGGGTATTGCCAAATTGTTCTCCAAAGCTGTTACCAACTTAAGTTCCCACCAGCAGAGTATGAATTTAAATAACACACAATGGTATATGTGGTTCATAATTAAATATGTTCAGAAAGTACAAAAACATGCATAGGAGAAAGGGGCTTTAGTCCCACCAGCAGAGTATGAATTTAAATAACACACAATGGTATATGTGGTTCATAATTAAATACGTTCAGAAAGTACAAAAACATGCATAGGAGAAAGGGGCTTTAGTTTTTTATGTAAGACTTTATTTCTTTTAAAAAAAGATCTGAGGCAAAAATGGCAAAATGTTAATACCCATTAAATCTGGATAGTAGATGTCTATTAATCTGCAATAATATTTGATTTTTTTCTGTATATCTGAAATATTTCACAATTAAATATTTTAAAACTGTTATAACAATTTGTTAAAATATAACACTGCTTAGCAAATTTATAAAAAAATACAATTTTAGTGAACTTTCAAACAGAATATTCAAATAATAATCTAGTTACCAAATTAATCCTCTAAGCACTTTTCTGGTTTTCCCCTAGTAGAAATGTTTTCTAATCTGTTTATATCCTCTTAGGAACAAGTATAAATATACTCACCAAGAACCTTTTTGATGTTTTGGAATTTTTTTAAAGAGTATTTTTGGGTCAATATATTTAAAAATTCTAATTGTATAATATTGCAAGGGTAGGAACTCAGGCTACGCTGGCACTAATTCCAGAACCTATCTCAGGAAGTCGCTTTTTAAACAAATTCCTATCGCTTCTCAGCCTTTTTGCTAAGATCAAGTGTGAAACAAATTCCTG